AAGTTTGATCCAAAAGTCATTCAAATTTGAATCGGGTTGTGGTTTCAACCACATCTGAGGTTACTCATTTTCTCCAAAAAATCTTTTTAGAAAAGGAAGACATCCGTAGTCTTTTCATTTCACGCTTTCATCGTTAGTGAGGGTATTTTATCTGTCACTGTAAACGTGGTTGTGGTTCTTCCCTGTAAGGGCCTGCTGATTACGTTAAGTTTATCGAATGTATAAGTCAATTCCATTATTCATTTAGGTGTATTTCTTTCGTAACATGGTGGTCCTAGTCCCTATCATAAAATGAACCGTCATTTAACATTCGTTTGTTCATGAAAAATATGCCGCTTGTATGGTTAATTACGGAACGATTGCTTTTCACAAAATTTTGCAGATTTTTATTAAAAACAAAAACTCCTCAAGGAACTGCTCTAGGCATTGTCGCCTTTCTTCACTATTTAAAGCCGGCGGCAATAACCGTTTTGATTATCAACGAGGGAAAACGTTAAGAACTGGGGGAAACACGTGTCCACAATACTCAATGTATAGTGGCAATTTGGATGTCTTGTTTTTTTTTAATTAGCCATTAACCACAGTCTCCAAATTCTAGTTAAAAGTATAAACTAAAACAAACTTTTGGGTGTTTCATTCCCACCAACCACTAATACTGGTGGGCGGACAGTCCCTCCGGACTATGTCGGAAGGTAGGACGGAAGGCCCTCTTCAGCCTCCTTTCAGGAATCGTAGGAATAGGTGGGTGGTGGTTCGGGTGAGAAAGATGAGACGGTCGAAATGAAGACAGAAGAAAATGAAAGATTATCTGTGGAATATTACTGCCTCTGCATTTGCCTAAGTGATCCAAGGAAACCACAGAAAAACTTGGACCAAGGCAGACAAATCTGGAATCTAATCGGCGTCCTCCCGAATGCTAAGCAATGGTCTAGACCTCTAGGTCATGCCGCTCGGTAAGTATAAACTAGTTAAGTAAGAAAAAAGTTAATTAAAAATTCAGTATTAATATCACGTTTATTTTACGACAACTATATTTACTTTGAAACGACATGCGTGCAATTAATTTCATATTCTTAACGTGATTAAGCAATCGTTTAAGTAATTCTATGATATTTACGTATTTAGGAAAAAATACAGCATATTGTACTCCTTAAGTATTAGGACGTAAATTGTATTCCGTAAGGTACATACGTGTGTAATTATCATATACGTATTTGATATGCAATTTATTGCTAAAACGAAGCCAATAAATTAAAAGATTGATCATTATCCTAGAGAGCAATCAAGAGTCCAAAGGTTATCCTTCGATTTCTGTTAATTAATTATTACCTGCCTGTTAGCATTCTATTGTGTAGATAGGCTCTTTTTGTACTATCGTTGCACTTAGGGATCAAAACAATCACATTTAGTATGATTGTACAAGAATCATATACATAGGTACACCATCATCATCATCATCGTTATCGTCAACATCATTATAAGGTCGTCAGTCCTAAGACTGGTTGGACATACACCTCCACTCTTTCCTATCCTGAGCTAATCTTTGCATTTCCATAAAACTAGAACAACCCACAAATTAAGGATAGGTATCCTGTTACGAAGCGTGGCTCGCTTGGCGAAAGGAAACTAAAAACTTATGTATCTTCTGCCGGTGTACTGCTGTACCACATAGATTATTCGGTAAGAACA